AAAGAGTGTCTTTCTGTGTCAATCTCACATTGACCAGATATTCCGCAAGAGGTGGCCGAATTACGGCCAGTTTTTCACATTACAATTGCGACTTGGCTGTGGTAAAGAGTGTGTCTTCCTGTGTCAATCTCACATTGACCAGATATTCCGCAAGAGGTGGCCAAATTACGGCCAATTTTCACATTAAAACTGCGACTTGGCTGCGTTCCGATCGCAGTCTCCCTTGGAGGACTTGGTTCGAATCCCACTTGTGACAGAGGTTTTGAGTAAACCTAATGAAGTGCCTCAATTCGGGCCAATTTTTTTACATTGTGATTCGGAAGGGATCTAAATAGCGTCTTCCTGTGTCAATCTCACATTGACCAGATATTCCGCAAGAGGTGGCCGAATTATGGCCAGTTTTCACATTACAACTGCGACTTGGCTGCGTTAAAGAGTGTGTCTTCCTGTGGCAATCTCACATTGACCAGATATATTCCGCAAGAGGTGGCCAAATTACACATTACAACTGCGACTTGGCTGCGTTCAGATTGCAGTCTCCATTGGAGGACTTGGTTCGAATCCCACTTCTGACAGAGGTTTTGAGTAAACCTAATGAAGTGCCTCAATTCGGGCCACTATTTTTACATTGTGATTCCAATTCCCGGCCACATTGTGACGGAAGCTGCATTGGCCGGCCTCCCTCGGTACTGGAATGTTCAATGCACTTGTGTTCCTCGTTAGTATAGTGGTCAGTATCCCCGCCTGTCACGCGGGAGACCGGGGTTCAATTCCCCGACGGGGAGTAGAGGGTTTTTACTGACACTCCCCAACACAATCAATGGCACATTATACTTGGACAACACGGCATCTGTGCAGAAGAATCCACTGATGTTTTAATTCAAGCCAACGATCAACTCTGGTGAACGTGTCAATTCCATGTCAGGATGGCCGAGCGGTCTAAGGCGCTGCGTTCAGGTCGCAGTCCCCCTGGAGGCGTGGGTTCTAATCCCACTTCTGACAGTTTTTGAGTAAACCTAATGAAGCGCCTCAATACGGGCCACTATTTTTACATTGTGATTCGAAGGGGATATAGAGAGTGAGTTGTCCTGTGTCAATCTCACGTTTAGACTTGTGCGACTCACATTGACCAGATATTACGCAAGAGGTGGTTGAATTATGGCCAGTTTTCACATTACCACCTCTTAATCGATGAAACAACTGGGCTCAATTGGCCGGCCATCAGCGGTCTAAAGCGCTGCATTCAGGTAGCAGTCTCCCCTGGAGGCGTGGGTTCGAATCCCACTTCTGACAGTGTTTGAGAAAACCTAATAAACTGCCTCAATTCGGGCCAATTTTTTTACATTGTGATTCGGAAGGGATCTAAAGAGTGTCTTCCTGTGTCAATCTCACATTGCCCAGATATTCCGCAAGAGGTGGCCGAATTACGGCCAGTTTTCACATTACAATTGCGACTTGGCTGTGGTAAAGAGTGTGTCTTCCTGTGTCAATCTCACATTGACCAGTTTTTTCTACAAGAGGTGGCCAAATTACGGCCAATTTTCACATTACAACTGCGACTTGGCTGCGTTCAGATCACAGTTGGTTCGAATCCCACTTCTGACAGAGGTTTTGAGTAAACCTAATGAAGTGCCTCAATTCGGGCCTCTATTTTTACATTGTGATTTCGACTCCCGGCCACAATGTGACGGAAGCTGCATTCGCCGGGGAATCGGAACCGGCCACCCTCACTACAGAAGAGAAACTCTACCACTAAGTGTGCTAAAGCAGATGCTGCATTGGCCGGGAATCGAACCCGGGCCTCCCGCGTGGCAGGCGAGAATTCTACCACTGAACCACCAATGCCTGTTTCTACAGGTGTTTTGGATCCCGTCATGTCTCAACCTCATATTTAAAATTGTAGGACTGAAAGTATTTGCTCATGACGAGGAATGCTCAATTTGTTTGTGTTCCTCGTTAGTATAGTGGTCAGTATCCCCGCCTGTCACGCGGGAGACCGGGGTTCAATTCCCCGACGGGGAGAAGAGGGATTTTGCTGACACTCCCCAACACAATCAATGGCACATTACACTTGGACAACACGGCATCTGTGCAGAAGAAGCCACTGATGTTTTAATTCAAGCCAACGATCAACTCTGGTGAACTTGTAAATTCCATGTCAGGATGGCCGAGCGGTCTAAGGCGCTGCGTTCAGGTCGCAGTCTCCCCTGGAGGCGTGGGTTCGAATCCCACTTCTGACAGTTTTTGAGTAAACCTAATGAAGCGCCTCAATTCGGGCCACTATTTTTACATTGTGATTCGAAGGGGATATAGAGAGTGAGTTGTCCTGTGTCAATCTCACGTTTAGACTTGTGCGACTCACATTTACCAGATATTACGTAAGAGGTGGCCAAATTACGGCCAATTTTCACATTAAAACTGCGACTTGGCTGCGTTCCGATCGCAGTCTCCCTTGGAGGACTTGGTTCGAATCCCACTTGTGACAGAGGTTTTGAGTAAACCTAATGAAGTGCCTCAATTCAGGCCAATTTTTTTACATTGTGATTCGGAAGGGATCTAAATAGCGTCTTCCTGTGTCAATCTCACATTGACCAGATATTCCGCAAGAGGTGGCCGAATTATGGCCAGTTTTCACATTACAACTGCGACTTGGCTGCGTTAAAGAGTGTGTCTTCCTGTGGCAATCTCACATTGACCAGATATTCCGCAAGAGGTGGCCGAATTACACATTACAACTGCGACTTGGCTGCGTTCAGATTGCAGTCTCCATTGGAGGACTTGGTTCGAATCCCACTTCTGACAGAGGTTTTGAGTAAACCTAATGAAGTGCCTCAATTCGGGCCACTATTTTTACATTGTGATTCCAATTCCCGGCCACATTGTGACGGAAGCTGCATTGGCCGGCCTCCCTCGGTACAGAAGAGAATTCTACCACTAAGTGTGCTAAAGTGTATGCTGCATCGAACCCGGGCCACCGCGTGGCAGGCGAGAATTCTACCACTGAACCACCAATGCCTTTTTTCGCTGGTGTTTTGGATCCCGTCATGTCTCAACCTCATATTTAAAATTGTAGGACTGAAAGTATTTGATCGTGACGAGGAATGTTCAATGCACTTGTGTTCCTCGTTAGTATAGTGGTCAGTATCCCCGCCTGTCACGCGGGAGACCGGGGTTCAATTCCCCGACGGGGAGGAGAGGGTTTTTTACTGACACTCCCCAACACAATCAATGGCACATTATACTTGGACAACACGGCATCTGTGCAGAAGAAGCCACTGATGTATTAATTCAAGCCATTGATCAACTCTGGTGAACGTGTAAATTTCATGTCAGGATGTCCGAGCGGTCTAAGGCGCTGCGTTCAGGTCGCAGTCTCCCTTTGAGGCGTGGGTTCGAATCCCGCTTCTGACAGTTTTTGAGTAAACCTAATGAAGCGCCTCAATTCGGGCCACTATTTTTACATTGTGATTCCAATTCCCGGCCACATTGTGACGGAAGCTGCATTGGCCGGCCTCCCTCGGTACAGAAGAGAATTCTACCACTAAGTGTGCTAAAGTGTATGCTGCATTGGGGGAATCGAACCCGGGCCTCCCGCGTGGCAGGCGAGAATTCTACCACTGAACCACCAATGCCTGTTTCTACAGGTGTTTTGGATCCCGTCATGTCTCAACCTCATATTTAAAATTGTAGGACTGAAAGTATTTGCTCATGACGAGGAATGCTCAATTAGTTTGTGTTCCTCGTTAGTATAGTGGTCAGTATCCCCGCCTGTCACGCGGGAGACCGGGTTCAATTCCCCGACGGGAGAAGAGGGAGTTTGCTGACACTCCCCAACACAATCAATGGCACATTATACTTGGACAACGCGGCGTCTGTGCAGAAGAAGCCACTGATGTTTTTATTGGTTTTAATTCAAGCCAACGGTCAACTCTGGTAAAGGTGCAAATTCCATGTCAGGATGGCCGAGCGGTCTAAGGCGCTGCGTTTAGGTCGCAGTCTCCCTGGAGGCGTGGGTTCGAATCCCACTTCTGACAGTGTTTAAGCAAACCTAATGAAGTGCCTCAATTCGGGCCAATTTTATTACATTGTGATTCGAAAGGGATCTAAAGAGTGTCTTCCTGTGTCAATCTCACATTGACCAGATATTCCGCAAGAGGTGGCCGAATTACGGCCAGTTTTCACATTACAATTGCGACTTGGCTGTGGTAAAGAGTGTGTCTTCCTGTGTCAATCTCACATTGACCAGATATTCCGCAAGAGGTGGCCAAATTACGGCCAATTTTCACATTAAAACTGCGACTTGGCTGCGTTCCGATCGTAGTCTCCTTGGAGGACTTGGTTCGAATCCCACTTGTGACAGAGGTTTTGAGTAAACCTAATGAAGTGCCTCAATTCGGGCCAATTTTTTCACATTGTGATTCCAATTCCCGGCCACATTGTGACGGAAGCTGCATTGGCCGGCTCTCCCTCGGTACTGGAATGTTCAATGCACTTGTGTTCCTCGTTAGTATAGTGGTCAGTATCCCCGCCTGTCACGCGGAGACCGGGGTTCAATTCCCCGACGGGGAGTAGAGGGTTTTTACTGACACTCCCCAACACAATCAATGGCACATTATACTTGGACAACACGGCATCTGTGCAGAAGAATCCACTGATGTTTTAATTCAAGCCAACGATCAACTCTGGTGAACGTGTCAATTCCATGTCAGGATGGCCGAGCGGTCTAAGGCGCTGCGTTCAGGTCGCAGTCTCCCCTGGAGGCGTGGGTTCTAATCCCACTTCTGACAGTTTTTGAGTAAACCTAATGAAGCGCCTCAATACGGGCCACTATTTTTACATTGTGATTCGAAGGGGATATAGAGAGTGAGTTGTCCTGTGTCAATCTCACGTTTAGACTTGTGCGACTCACATTGACCAGATATTATGCAAGAGGTGGTTGAATTATGGCCAGTTTTCACATTACACCTCTTAATCGATCAAACAAACTGGCTCAATTGGGCTCCGGCCATCAGCGGTCTAAAGCGCTGCATTAGGTTAGCAGTCTCCCCTGGAGGCGTGGGTTCGAATCCCACTTCTGGACAGTGTTTGAGAAAAACCTAATAAACTGACCTCAATTCGGGCCAATTTTATTACATGTGATTGGAAGGGATCTAAAGAGTGTCTTCCTGTGTCAATCTCACATTGCCCAGATCATTCGCAAGAGGGTGGCCCGAATTACGGCAGTTTTTCACATTACAATTGCGACTTGGCCTAGTGGTAAAGAGTGTGTCTTCCTGTGTCCATCTCACATTGACAGTTTTTTTCTACAAGAGGTGGCCCAAATTACGGCCAAATTTTCACATTACAACTGCGAGACTTGGCTGCGTTCAGATCACAGTGGTTCGAATCCCACTTCTGACAGAGGTTTTGAGTAAACCTAATGAAGTGCCTCCAATATCGGGCCTCTATTTTTACATTGTGATTTCGACTCACCGGCCACAATGTGACGGAAGCTGCATTCGCCGGGGAATCGGAACCGGCCACCCTCACTACAGAAGAGAACTCTACCACTAAGTGTGCTAAAGCAGATGCTGCATTGGCCGGGAATCGAACCCGGGCCTCCCGCGTGGCAGGCGAGAATTCTACCACTGAACCACCAATGCCTGTTTCTACAGGTGTTTTGGATCCCGTCATGTCTCAACCTCATATTTAAAATTGTAGGACTGAAAGTATTTGCTCATGACGAGGAATGCTCAATTTGTTTGTGTTCCTCGTTAGTATAGTGGTCAGTATCCCCGCCTGTCACGCGGGAGACCGGGGTTCAATTCCCCGACGGGGAGAAGAGGGATTTTGCTGACACTCCCCAACACAATCAATGGCACATTACACTTGGACAACACGGCATCTGTGCAGAAGAAGCCACTGATGTTTTAATTCAAGCCAACGATCAACTCTGGTGAACTTGTAAATTCCATGTCAGGATGGCCGAGCGGTCTAAGGCGCTGCGTTCAGGTCGCAGTCTCCCCTGGAGGCGTGGGTTCGAATCCCACTTCTGACAGTTTTTGAGTAAACCTAATGAAGCGCCTCAATTCGGGCCACTATTTTTACATTGTGATTCGAAGGGGATATAGAGAGTGAGTTGTCCTGTGTCAATCTCACGTTTAGACTTGTGCGACTCACATTTACCAGATATTACGTAAGAGGTGGCCAAATTACGGCCAATTTTCACATTAAAACTGCGACTTGGCTGCGTTCCGATCGCAGTCTCCCTTGGAGGACTTGGTTCGAATCCCACTTGTGACAGAGGTTTTGAGTAAACCTAATGAAGTGCCTCAATTCAGGCCAATTTTTTTACATTGTGATTCGGAAGGGATCTAAATAGCGTCTTCCTGTGTCAATCTCACATTGACCAGATATTCCGCAAGAGGTGGCCGAATTATGGCCAGTTTTCACATTACAACTGCGACTTGGCTGCGTTAAAGAGTGTGTCTTCCTGTGGCAATCTCACATTGACCAGATATTCCGCAAGAGGTGGCCGAATTACACATTACAACTGCGACTTGGCTGCGTTCAGATTGCAGTCTCCATTGGAGGACTTGGTTCGAATCCCACTTCTGACAGAGGTTTTGAGTAAACCTAATGAAGTGCCTCAATTCGGGCCACTATTTTTACATTGTGATTCCAATTCCCGGCCACATTGTGACGGAAGCTGCATTGGCCGGCCTCCCTCGGTACAGAAGAGAATTCTACCACTAAGTGTGCTAAAGTGTATGCTGCATCGAACCCGGGCCACCCGCGTGGCAGGCGAGAATTCTACCACTGAACCACCAATGCCTTTTTTCGCTGGTGTTTTGGATCCCGTCATGTCTCAACCTCATATTTAAAATTGTAGGACTGAAAGTATTTGATCGTGACGAGGAATGTTCAATGCACTTGTGTTCCTCGTTAGTATAGTGGTCAGTATCCCCGCCTGTCACGCGGGAGACGGGGTTCAATTCCCCGACGGGGAGGAGAGGGTTTTTTACTGACACTCCCCAACACAATCAATGGCACATTATACTTGGACAACACGGCATCTGTGCAGAAGAAGCCACTGATGTTTTAATTCAAGCCATTGATCAACTCTGGTGAACGTGTAATTTTCATGTCAGGATGTCCGAGCGGTCTAAGGCGCTGCGTTCAGGTCGCAGTCTCCCCTGGAGGCGTGGGTTCGAATCCCACTTCTGACAGTTTTTGAGTAAACCTAATGAAGCGCCTCAATTCGGGCCACTATTTTTACATTGTGATTCGAAGGGGATATAGAGAGTGAGTTGTCCTGTGTCAATCTCACGTTTAGACTTGTGCGACTCACATTGACCAGATATTCCGCAAGAGGTGGCCAAATTACGGCCAATTTTCACATTAAAATTGCGACTTGGCTGCGTTCCGATCGCAGTCTCCCTTGGAGGACTTGGTTCGAATCCCACTTGTGACAGAGGTTTTGAGTAAACCTAATGAAGTGCCTCAATTCGGGCCACTATTTTTACATTGTGATTCCAATTCCCGGCCACATTGTGACGGAAGCTGCATTGGCCGGCCTCCCTCGGTACAGAAGAGAATTCTACCACTAAGTGTGCTAAAGTGTATGCTGCATTGGCCGGGAATCGAACCCGGGCCTCCCGCGTGGCAGGCGAGAATTCTACCACTGAACCACCAATGCCTGTTTCTACAGGTGTTTTGGATCCCGTCATGTCTCAACCTCATATTTAAAATTGTAGGACTGAAAGTATTTGCTCATGACGAGGAATGCTCAATTAGTTTGTGTTCCTCGTTAGTATAGTGGTCAGTATCCCCGCCTGTCACGCGGGAGACCGGGGTTCAATTCCCCGACGGGGAGAAGAGGGAGTTTGCTGACACTCCCCAACACAATCAATGGCACATTATACTTGGACAACGCGGCGTCTGTGCAGAAGAAGCCGCTGATGTTTTTATTGGTTTTAATTCAAGCCAACGGTCAACTCTGGTAAAGGTGCAAATTCCATGTCAGGATGGCCGAGCGGTCTAAGGCGCTGCGTTTAGGTCGCAGTCTCCCCTGGAGGCGTGGGTTCGAATCCCACTTCTGACAGTGTTTAAGCAAACCTAATGAAGTGCCTCAATTCGGGCCAATTTTATTACATTGTGATTCGAAAGGGATCTAAAGAGTGTCTTCCTGTGTCAATCTCACATTGACCAGATATTCCGCAAGAGGTGGCCGAATTACGGCCAGTTTTCACATTACAATTGCGACTTGGCTGTGGTAAAGAGTGTGTTTTCCTGTGTCAATCTCACATTGACCAGATATTCCGCAAGAGGTGGCCAAATTACAGCCAATTTTCACATTAAAACTGCGACTTGGCTGCGTTCCGATCGCAGTCTCCTTGGAGGACTTGGTTCGAATCCCACTTGTGACAGAGGTTTTGAGTAAACCTAATGAAGTGCCTCAATTCGGGCCAATTTTTTTACATTGTGATTCGGAAGGGATCTAAATAGCGTCTTCCTGTGTCAATCTCACATTGACCAGATATTCCGCAAGAGGTGGTTGAATTATGGCCAGTTTTCACATTACACCTCTTAATCGATCAAACAACTGGGCTCAATTGGCCGGCCATCAGCGGTCTAAAGCGCTGCATTCAGGTAGCAGTCTCCCCTGGAGGCGTGGGTTCGAATCCCACTTCTGACAGTGTTTGAGAAAACCTAATAAACTGCCTCAATTCGGGCCAATTTTTTTACATTGTGATTCGGAAGGGATCTAAAGAGTGTCTTCCTGTGTCAATCTCACATTGCCCAGATATTCCGCAAGAGGTGGCCGAATTACGGCCAGTTTTCACATTACAATTGCGACTTGGCTGTGGTAAAGAGTGTGTCTTCCTGTGTCAATCTCACATTGACCAGTTTTTTCTACAAGAGGTGGCCAAATTACGGCCAATTTTCACATTACAACTGCGACTTGGCTGCGTTCAGATCACAGTTGGTTCGAATCCCACTTCTGACAGAGGTTTTGAGTAAACCTAATGAAGTGCCTCAATTCGGGCCTCTATTTTTACATTGTGATTTCGACTCCCGGCCACAATGTGACGGAAGCTGCATTCGCCGGGGAATCGGAACCGGCCACCCTCACTACAGAAGAGAACTCTACCACTAAGTGTGCTAAAGCAGATGCTGCATTGGCCGGGAATCGAACCCGGGCCTCCCGCGTGGCAGGCGAGAATTCTACCACTGAACCACCAATGCCTGTTTCTACAGGTGTTTTGGATCCCGTCATGTCTCAACCTCATATTTAAAATTGTAGGACTGAAAGTATTTGCTCATGACGAGGAATGCTCAATTTGTTTGTGTTCCTCGTTAGTATAGTGGTCAGTATCCCCGCCTGTCACGGGGAGACCGGGGTTCAATTCCCCGACGGGGAGAAGAGGGATTTTGCTGACACTCCCCAACACAATCAATGGCACATTACACTTGGACAACACGGCATCTGTGCAGAAGAAGCCACTGATGTTTTAATTCAAGCCAACGATCAACTCTGGTGAACTTGTAAATTCCATGTCAGGATGGCCGAGCGGTCTAAGGCGCTGCGTTCAGGTCGCAGTCCCCTGGAGGCGTGGGTTCGAATCCCACTTCTGACAGTTTTTGAGTAAACCTAATGAAGCGCCTCAATTCGGGCCACTATTTTTACATTGTGATTCGAAGGGGATATAGAGAGTGAGTTGTCCTGTGTCAATCTCACGTTTAGACTTGTGCGACTCACATTTACCAGATATTACGTAAGAGGTGGCCAAATTACGGCCAATTTTCACATTAAACTGCGACTTGGCTGCGTTCCGATCGCAGTCTCCCTTGGAGGACTTGGTTCGAATCCCACTTGTGACAGAGGTTTTGAGTAAACCTAATGAAGTGCCTCAATTCAGGCCAATTTTTTTACATTGTGATTCGGAAGGGATCTAAATAGCGTCTTCCTGTGTCAATCTCACATTGACCAGATATTCCGCAAGAGGTGGCCGAATTATGGCCAGTTTTCACATTACAACTGCGACTTGGCTGCGTTAAAGAGTGTGTCTTCCTGTGGCAATCTCACATTGACCAGATA